ACGAAACGAACCACTCAATAAAATTTCTGTTTTTAGGGCTTTTTATGAATTATGGAAGCACAAGGATATGCAGTCGGAAGAAAATGATTGTAACTGTCTTTTAGAGATTTTAAATGAGTTGATGACAGAAGATCTAGATAATGAAAGAAAGAATCATCTCATATCATTACAAACTGTTAACAAGGTATGCTATAACCAAATTATACTGTTTTTTTTATAGATATGATGATAAAAAAAAAAAAAAATGAGCTCCTCTCGTCAGACTGTTATCATTTGCGAGAATTTTCCTCCTTGCACTGCTTGTAAGGACGATATGTAAGCGGTGGTGAGTGGCCATAACCATTTGCGAGAAGTTTCCTCTTTATATTGTGGTATGCAAAGACGATAAGTAAGCGGTGATACTGACGAGGAGGTTGTGATATAAGCAAATATTGCATATAGATCTGATATATAAGTGCCATAGAATGATATATATTTTTTGAATACTCAGTAACGTGAATATTACTGTTACAGATGCGAAATTTATGGAAAGAATTGTAAACATTATTAGATGAGGATTTGATTCGGTATGTATTTTTTAAAATGAAATGCATCAAAGAGAAATGTATTAACGATTCTGTCTATAAAGATTCGAGACTAATGAACCTCCATATTGGAAAGCACATGCTATCCGTAACATCGGTAATATAAAGGATAAACTACAGGTATTCTGGACATACATTATTTTACTGGAACCGAATACATTCAACCGCATTTCAATTCAAAATTATCAGAAAGCAAACACATCGGTACGTCTTCTCGAGGAAATACAAGACGTGGATATTAATGATTTAACCTATGATGATCCATTGGCCAACGGCATAATTGACCTTGGATCTTCTCAATACCAGTTAATCGAAGATGATTATGATGTTCTTGTGGTGAGTAATTTATATTCACAAGAATAATATTGATCACACTAAATCATATGATATTTTTGAGATTTGTTTATGCAGGGTGAGAAAGGTGGCATAAGAAACTTAAGAAAAGGTGCATTCATAAAGGAAATGTGCGAAGAGTTTATTATAAAAAGAAACGAAATTCATAGTCAGTGCAAATTCATAATTGCGCCTTCCGAAACAAGAAGACATAAGGAATGGATTGAGAGTGAAAACAACAGGGTAATAACAGCGACAAATATAACAGACACGCTTCTGCAAGAAACTAAAAGGAATGTCTTTCGTAAAATATCCAAAGCTTCAGAGAATGCTTTTGTAGATGTTATAGTACGTATTATGGAGGCATCGATATATCAAATGCCAGTTGACTTTGACATCGAAGTAACGAGAAATGATCGTCAAAGTATTGCCAGCCAAGAGGCAACAAACCTGACTTAATGATTCGCGCATTTTTCAAAAATGAGTGGAACGAACTCGCATATGTCAAAAGTGGGAAATGGAGATCAACAGACACAAAACCCTTAATGGTCATAACAAGCTAGCCCGTTTAAGCTTAGACGGATATACTGATATGTCAAAGAAAACTAAAAAGAACGAGCTATACAAATTTTGTATTATATTTGGTATCAATATTACGGTAAACACATATTTCCATCTCAATAATTTAGATAATATCCTATTGTTTAATTATGGTTATAATAACTAGATGACCATCGTGTTGTTATACATGGATTTTTGCGAGAAAAAGGTATAAAATTTTATCTCCCTATCATCAAAGCCAAGATTCCCTTTCGTAACGAAACAGTGGATGAAGTCGAAGAATTGTGCATGCGTTATTAATTTTGCGGGTAAGAAATTTTGAAAAAAAAAAATTGTCTTCTAATACTATGCACTATTTCTAAGGTTAACTTTATATTTAGAACGGGATACTGGTAAATCTTCATGAGGTCAGTCATATTTTATTAAAGAAATATAAACGAGCAGAAACGCATGATTCTTCCGAAGAAGATTCTACAATTAAGACCCCATAAAACGTGTATGCGAATCTTTTAGAATCTATTTCCTTATAGATTCCTTTACTCAAGAAAAATAATTAGGATTTTCTTTTATTTGTCACAACATCGAGCATCAAGAATGTGTCAATACGTTGCTCGCGATTTGGAACTGTTGTCAATCTCTGAGTTCGTCCGAGAATATTGTGGGAAGTTAGAAAATTATCGTAAGCGTATTTGGGCCCAGCTATTTAGATCGCGATTAATTTCAATACGATAAGCGATTATCACCAGGACGAACACGACGAACCAAATTCTTTGTTGTCTGGTGGCATTGGGTGATTTTGAGGGAGTGAACTATGCTTCCCCCAACTCCATATTATCGTTCCGCTTCATACTGATCAGGTCGTTGTTTTTCTTCGCGTCTTCTCTTCCTAGGCAATTTCCCAGTTACGAAAGGCATCCGTCATAGTATTGTTTATTCCGTATATAGTTTATTCTTTTGCAATCAGCGGGACTTCTCGCCTGTTTACAACGATCTTAAGGTGAGAATTGAGAGGTATCGGTGGATTGGTTGTTTTTTCAGTTCCTCGCAAGACCTAAATGATGCACGGAATCTAAATAATATGATTAGACTCGACAAGTCGAAAGTCAATCATGTTTAAATCCCACCATCGTCCACCGATTGTAGAAGAGGGCATACTATATATGTAAGTTTTCTACTACGCGATGCTGACATGATTGTGTTTGTTAAAAAATAACACTAATATAATATTATTCTTTAGACTTGTCGCGTGCTGCCCATTATATAATTTAATTTCTTTTTTTACTCAATCGAGATATTATCGAATTGTATTAATGATTTCTTAAAATATATTATTAGAACTTGTACAAAAAAATAAACAAGATACTGTAAGTTAAAATAGGCTATTTGTATTGAGACTATTTAATTTCTTTCTAATAATCGTGATCAATTTATTGAAAAGCTACTGTACTGTATATTATATAGATAAAAAAGTTTATAACAAATATAAATATTTCTCAAATACTGTAAAAAATATAGTATATAATACTGTGACTAGTTTATTATTGTTGCAAGTTAAAAAATAAATATATATGTAGGAAAATAAATTATTAAAAAATAATTAATCTATAGCAAAGAAATATGGATAAATAAAAAACAAACGAAAAATTTTTATTGGATTTTTATTAATTTTTTTGTGCTTCCTTTTGCTTTAACCATCTAAATATTTTATTTTTAAGCATTATAACTTAAAATTTTAAATACATTATTATTTATTTTATAATTTAAAAATAAATTTATATTTTTTATAATTTATTTATGCAAATATTTAAAAATATAAGTTATTTATAACTATAATAAAAGATATATTTTAAGTTTTCACTTTAGTGATTTATTTTACATGTATAGCATACTAATGTTTAATAAAAACATATAATTAGTCTGACAGAGGATTAAAACCCCCCATTTTTATAACCTAACTATTAGTCTGCAAGCATCTTATTTTGTATTTTCTTATTTTGTTAATAATTAATGACCCTTATTTTAAATATATTTTGTACTCTGTTCTTTAGACCATAAGTATATTTGCTTTATTTATCTGACTCTATATTATTAAGCTATATCTCTTAGGTTTATATATTTTTTCTATTACTATTAGATAAGTATTATTTCTAATTCAATAGCCTCTTTATTATTATGATATTTTTTCAATACTAATGTTTAATAACTTGTCTCATTTATTTCATTTAACTACTAGATTGTAAGTATATATACTATAAGTACTTTTTGATTACAAAATTATGTCTCACTAGTAATATAATTCTTCTATTAGATTGTATATATAAATTCTCTTGTCAATTATGATAATATCTCTTTATTATTTTTTATAACTTATTTATTTTGTTAAATCTATTAGAATATAAGTACTATATATGAGTTTTATTTTATTTTATTTATTTATTCATTACTAAATTACACTTTCTTATTATATTTTTTTAAGTATTAGGTCGTAAGTATAAGTTATATAAAAATATTACTTTGATATTATATTTTATAACATATTTATTCTGCCAATTCCAGACTGCATATACAGTAGTTACATATTTGATTGCTTATTTTTTTTTTAATAGACAACTAAATTTTTCCTTCTTACTTATTTTTTCTCATTATATTGTGAGTATATAAAGTTAAAGCTAATTTTTCCTGAATTGTGAAATATATTTAGAAATATAAAATAATATCTTACTACCTATAATATAATGTAGTTAAAGTACCCCCTTCAGAATTCAAGAATCAAATTTAGAAAACAATTAAGTTACTAATCATTAATATATATAGTAAAAATCTTTTTATTAAATTTATGAAAAATTTATAAAATATATATATATAATTTTAACAACTGTTATCAATAATAACAATTTAGTAAAGTTCTTTTGTTCAGAATTAATGAAACAATATGTAAATAAAAAACATATTTCCTAAAAGTTAACAATTGTATTTAGACAAATTAAAAGATATGCAAGTAAAAACTTACTGTCAATAAGTTGATAATAAAAATAAAGTATTTCTAAATTTTAGAAACAATTTAAATTAAAAATTTATTACTTATATATCATGATCAACAATATAATTAAACTTTATTTTTTTTTTTTAATTACAAGACAAGTTTAGAAAATATATAAATAAAAACTTTTTAATATCTATAAAAATAATGTAATTGAAGATTTCTCTTTGAAACTTGTGAAATTGATTTCAAAATTATGCAAAAAAAAAATATAATCCTGATAATATAATATAGTTAAGATATATTTCTTCTAAATTTGTAAACAATTTAGTAAATATATAAGTAAAAACTTATATTATATAAGTTGATAATGTATAATAACCTATAAATCCATAGTGCAGTGGTTAGTACTTCGTAAGTCAGATCACAAGAACCACAATCAAATCCTCTGGGAGGCAATCTCTGAAAGCAGGTAGTAATCTGCATCCATTGGTATAACTATATATAACCGATGTTTCCAAGTATAGCTTTTCAATCAACAGTCGACGAACTCCTGAGTGATACAAGCCAGTCTATACATGGATTTAATCAGGCTGAATGTCCGAAATCGGGTAGAATTATCCCTTGAATTGTCGCATTACTGAAAAGTGTAATAAGAAGAATAGACATTGAACTGGTAGTATGTCTCTGAAGGAAGTTATGAAGGTCAAAACTGGGACAAACAGCTTTTGACATATCAAGAACTCAAGCATATGACTGTGCCGGGTTTCACAGACTTGACTATTGGGAGGCCTTGATAGGAGAAGAAATCCACTGACCACTCTGAAGAACTTGAAAATACTGAAAAAGTTCAGGATAAAAAAAATTTGATGGCCTGATAACTTGACTACTCTTAATAAAGCTGATCCGGGAATAATTAAGAAGTAATCGCATTTCTTTCCTCAAAAAAGGGTAGGATTTATATATAGAAGTAGGATATATATAGCTACTCATATAGATATGTTTACTTAAAAAATATATAAGACCTTGTTTAATATGTGATAAGTGAACATGGTTTCATATAAAAAGGTCTGGGTTTGGACCCCCAATAACTGCCAAAAAGTAATTGAATATAATAAACAAAAGATGTGATCCTTAATACCTACTATATCAAAGCCTTCAATTGGCATTAGTAGGATCCCTGCACAATAAAATAATTAAGAGAAAAGAACCAGTATACTTCGCAACCCTCAGACACATAATACAAAACTATATCCACACACATGTCTTGTATAACAAGTTGAATCCTAAAGCTTAACTCCAACAAGAAACAACAAATGCACAAAAGCAACTGGATAAACAAGAATGCTCCTGTACATCTTCCAATGAAACCATGATCTATATCTAGGAAGAACAATTAGTAGAAAAGAGAAATATATAAAACTTAGACATTATACCACCACAAGTACCTCACTTGTAACATGATGTTCAAGCTACAAACTAAATAAAAATATTGATAATCGACCTGACATGTGCTGCTTCAGAACTCGATCTGACCAAGCCATCCAAGTCCCAGTTATCAATATCACAAAAACAAGTACAGACAACAATAACAAATCTTGTTACAGACTTCAAGTTTCATTAAATAGCATACAACGATAGATTGCAGGGCCAAACTCAGCCTTCAATACCATCGAAATTGATCCTACCTCACAAAACTTGAAGAATCTGATCAAAGTGGTGTTATTATATGAATTTACCTTAAATAGCTCACCCAAATTCACAAATATTTCAAGAGCTCAAAAACAATAAACATAATAATTAATGGTGCTTTCAAAACCAACAACCCTAATACTATAGATACAGGTATAATCTTTTTAGACAATTTCTCCTCCCTAAATGAAGCAAGTATCCACATCACAGGGCAAAGTTCAACCTT